AATATAAAATCCTGCATTAACTTTTTTTAATTGTAATTTTCAGGCAAGGTTAAGCATAAATCTATTAAAAAAAACCCTGCAAGTTGCTCTTTAAACATACATAGGATCAGATCGATTGGGTTGGAGGCTCCTCGGATTTAAATAAAACGGCCGTAATCTCTTCTTTTTTTTTTTGTTTGCTCTGAGACTGCTTGTGACCTTGCATGCCAAAGACAAAAGAGCAGTCACAACTCTTATCTCTTATGCAGCTGTAGACCAACAGCCCTAGCTTTTTGTTGACAAGAGAATGACCTGACATGGTGCGAGCCATAACAGGACACTGGGACCTAAGACCCACTGTAGTGTTGAAATGAATGTGCATTACTAAAAAGGCAAGGATGACATCATAACTCCTTTCAGCAACATTTGTAAAAGGATACGGAGAGTAGTTCATAAACTATTTTCCTTCTTTATTCTTGTTATTCTGTTAATGTTCATTCAGCCTTAACTTTTACCAGTGTCCAACAAGTGTTTATTTACCTGCATTTAATCAACTATTTGCCTTTTCTTTTACCCATTGGATTTGTAGTGCAGATGCTTGTGTACATATGTTGGTATATCCCCTGTATTGTTTTACTCTTTTCCAGGTGTAAAGATGATGAGTAATGGAAGGAAGCATCCAGACATCCAAAAGCCGAAAAGAGCCAATAAAGGTTTGTGTCTATTGAAGCAACATTTGACTTGTTATGTAATTTCCTGTTGCTCATTGAGTGAATTTACACTTGTTTTGTGATGTGTGAACAACCCTTCAGATCAAGGCATGCCAGAGAAATGTGCCGTGGTGCTGTCGCAATGGCCAAAGAGTAGGAGCGCTAAGAGGAAAATGAGGGGAGTGACAAATCCTGTGTTTAAGGTAAGCCTGCCTCTAAACAAAGGTTCTCTGCTGCTGAAGAGGAGTCCGTTCATCATGGACAGCCTTAATGTGCCCTCTGCATTCCCCCATTCACCGGACTCGGATCTTCCAGAGTCACCAGAGTTCCACTCAGAGGATCGTGAGGTGGACTATGACACTGAATCATTTGCAATAAACCCAGCTGAACAATCCGTTCAACATCAGCAAGATCGCCACAGTGGAGAAGGACAGGCTGGTCCATTCATGGAACCAGAAAGAAACGTCACAGTGACTCCGTATCAACAGATGGATGGACATTATAATGGCAATGAATACTTTAACCCTTCAAAAGATATAACCAGAACAACATATCAAAAGGTTTATGGCGGAAATAATTACAACACACAGCAAGGTTCTCACGTAAAATCAAATAAGAGGGTTTACGAAGAGTGGCCAAATGAAGGCCAACAGACTGAGATTGATTGGTCGACGCCTGCTGTGTCCCACACTCAGGACTGGCCTTCCCATAACTCGGCCTACAGATATGAGGCGGGTTCCACCGAGCAGTGGTACAATCCAACTCCACAAAGTGCAGTTGGCCCAAGAATTGAGAGATGCCAAGAGGTTAGCTTTGATGCTACTCAACATTATTACCAGCAACAACCGCCAACTCCGTACATGGCACAAAATCATCAAAGTCTTCAGATAGGCAATGCGGGACAGCACTGTTGGCCTGGTGATACGGCTGCTCATACAGATGCTGCTAGGGTCCAAATGCATCCTCACTTAGGAGATCCCCATGCACAAAATGGCAGTAATGCACCAGTGCCTGGAGCACAGTTTGAACCGAGACAAGTGCAAACGTACATGGAGTTTTCCGTTGGTCATGTCAAGACAGCTTCACAAAATGATGCGACACAACCTACGGCCCATCAAGGCATCCAAGCAGGCTATGGGATGCAGTCTTTCCCCAACTACAATGCTGGACCTTGGACAAACCCTTACCAACACTTACCTCATCAAAACAGCGGTGGAGATGGTGTTGGATGGGGGGGGTCTCAGTCAAATGCTTACATGCCACCTCAGCAAGCTCAGTGGTATTATGGAGCCCAGTCTGCGGTTAATTACAGAGCAGCTGGTTTGATTTGACGATTTCAAGAAGTACAGATAAAACAACTTCATGTATGTTAGCATTTCCAATCTTTGACTATGCAAATTTGGCAAACCCCAACTGAAACCACGTTTTTATTGAAGGAGACATTTTTCTAGCACCATCTAATGAAAACGCACTCAGATGCGCCGGCTTAGGTTCTATTGGTGCTGTGGCATTTTTCTTTCTTCTTAAAATGTTTTCCCTAGTCTCTGTCAGGAATGGGAATCCCCTAATGGATGGATGTTATGCCTTTCATTTTGAATGTTATTTAAAATGACCACATTTTTTTTTTCTTCTTGGAAATGTTTGGATCAAACGAGTCATTAAACAGAATTTCTTCTATTCTTTAATCAAAATCTAAAACAAATCTGATTTTGGACCATTGTGCTGAAATGTGCCAAGATAGTGACATATTTCCTTTGACACTGTAGGTGTTATAAGTAAAAGTGTATTTGTTGTATCATCTGGTTACAGAAAAGTTTTTTGGTGATTTATAAATTGTATTGGTTCAGAGCAACTGCTGATAAGTTATAAAGGTTCAAATCAGACTAAAGCTCAATTTAATAAAAACATTTTTTTTTAAAAGATCAACGAACTGAAAAAAGGTAAGGTTGACAAGAGCTAGCTAGTTCGCCTTAATAAAAAAACAACAACACTTAAATGCTTATGCAATGTACAAAAAACAAATCATCCTTATGGTCCAGGAGCTGGCTAAAAGTTAGCATTGTTGTTGTGCTTTCATATTTTTTCCAACTATCTTATCTAAAAAAGTTATTTAAAATGACAATCTTTTTTCTTTACATTTAAAACAGAATTTCTTCTATTCTTGCATCTAAAACCAAATCTGATTGTGGACCATTGCGCTGAAATGTGCATAGATAGTGACATATGATTTCCTTTGACACTGTTGGTGTTATAAGTAAAAGTGTATTTGTTGTATCATCTGTTTATAGAAAAGTTTTTTGTTGATTTATAAATTCCACTGGTTCAGAGCAACCGCTGATAAGTTCAAATCAGACTAAAGCTCAGTTTAAAAAAAAAAAAAGACCAATTTGACTTTGTATGTTATGTTCAAAATGTGCCTAGATAACTCCAAATAAGTATTACATTTACAATTAAAGTGAAGACCTACTTAAGGTTTGTGCCAGCATGTATTTACTCTGTTTTTGAAAGACCTCTTTTTGCCTGTTTTGTGAACCACTAAAGATAGTATGTCGACAATGGTGTTCTAGGTTGGAACCGGTGTAACAATTATGTTCTGTTCAAAATAAATGCTTACGAAAACCTTTTTTTACTGTAGTTCTTCATTTTAGAGTTTCATTCAGAATAATTAACTATATACATGTCAAATAAAAATAAATAAGCTAAATGTTGCTGCTATTGTTATAACTGATCAAGTAAATCAGAAGTCTATATACATGTAAATGGAATAAGATAAACATAGTTGATATGATAGTGTTTTTTTTAATGCTCAGTATGGTACATATACTGTAAAACAATATCTGTAAATTCCCTCTGATCTGAACGCAACACAGCTGCCGTGCGGAAGCAGCTCCTGCAGGCTGCTGTGGTTTAGCCCCGAGCTAACCAGCAGGCAGCCAGCCTACACTACTGGGAGCACGGCTGCAGCTAGTTAGCATTTATAACCAGTCTTTACGTATAACATGCAATCTGTAGGGCTTACATTTCTAACGCTACTGGCTAACTTGCAGTAGATAACACATCTGGGAGAACCCTGAAGGCTGCCTCGTTCTACCTACGACCGTGTCAAAATGTCAGCTTTCTCTGAGGCAGCTTTAGAAAAGAAACTGTCCGAGCTCAGCAACTCACAACAAAGTGTGCAGACGCTGTCGTTGTGGCTCATTCATCATAGAAAACACTCAAGGACCATTGTCAGTGTTTGGATCAACGAACTGAAAAAAGGTAAGGTCGACAAGAGCTAGCTAGTTCCCCTTAATAAAAAACCAACAATAACACTGAAATGCTTATGCAATGTACAAACAACTAATCATCCATATGGCGCAGGAGCTGGCTAAAAGTTAGCATTGTTGTGTTTTCATATTTTGTCCAACTATCTTAGCTAAAAAACTTATGAGGCACCGCGTCGCTGTTAGCCCAGAAAGGCTAGCTAACTTTCCTGCAGAAACGTTAGCCTGCATTGGCTAACCGTAACGTTGAAGTCTTGCTCCATGCTATTGTTATTTATCTAACATCAGTCTGGTTATGTGTTGGACACGTTAGGTCTAATACAGTTAATGGTAATATGTGCATTGACGCTGTGGCTTTTTAAAGCGATGTTTAGCCCTTGCAAACAACAATAAAGGCCGTCATACTATGCATCACGATCATTTCAAAATGACCCCTTACACTACAGTCTGGGCGACCCTCCCACTGCAGATATGCACTACGCTAGGGTTAAATGGTAGCAAAGGGCAGACTTTGAAAGTTAGCAACATATTTGTATTTGCAGTAGAACACCTAGCACCTCATGAGACAAATTGGTTCCCCAAGGAGATGGTGGAGACCAAAAGAGAGCATTCAGGTGACCAGAATGAGGACTACAAATGAATGTTGCGCCACATCTTTGGGATACTAAAGTTTACGCAAATACCAGCTTTAAAGCAGCTGTATTTGATAATGTATCATTTAGAAAAATCAAATCACTGTGCAAAATCAATAATACAAGTGAACAGTTGATTTTTGCAGTATTTATTGCTTTATAATTATGTTTAAAGTAACTTTACATACTTATGTTCTCTTTATAGATTGCTGAACAGTTAATTTATTTCACCTTTTTGTTCCAGTGATTTCGTACTTCCATAACTGTTCTGTTAAAGACACTTTAACATGATGTCAATCAATAACTTAAATTTAAATGCAGTTCACTAATACTTTAGCTACTGTTGTTGTTAGCTGATGGGATTGACCTGCTTTTTTTGTAGGTTGTGAGACAACTCAAGCTAGACCAACGTTAATTTATGAATTAGTTTTTTTATGGATTAACCCTCTCTTCTTATGCAAATATCCACAAAGGTGACTTTAATTTAAAAGATATCTTTAAAACACACCAACTTCCGATGTTCAACAAAAACTATAAGTTCGCAAGACATAATCAAGTGTAGGACAATATAATGCTGAAGGATTATCCAGGAGATAACCTGAGAAAAAAGAAGTTGCATGAGTATTATTTTACATTAGTGTATTGAAGTTGACTGATGTCATATCCATATGATAATTTCGTTTTCTTGTAAATGCTTAACTCCATCAAGCATGACATTTTTTTGTCAGACTGAATATTTAACACCTTTTTAATAGTGTTTGAAAAAGTGTAACTGCACAAACAAAATACTGAATGCGTTAAATTAATCAGTGTTAGTGCAATTCCATTTTAAGACTGTAAGAAATTGTATCCACATTGAATCACAAAAGTACAATTTAGTGGGTTCACTCAATGTATTGACTAAATTAGGTTAAAGTACAAACAGATTGAGTTGTTGTTAATATTGTTTTGAATTAGATTGAAAAAGCCTGTTGTATGAATGTCTGATATATCTGTAGTTGTAGCTTATTCTATACTACTGGCACGGTTTTCCTGAGACTGCTAGTTAACAGTCTAATGATATCTCAAGAGGCTTTTGTATTTTAGGAGCGTGTCTGTGGACTGAAAGCAGTGTACAATGGGGACAGAGATAACACATTTCTCTGGAAAATGAACCATTACTTGTATGATGTAACTGTGCCATTAATAGAAGACATACAAAACAAGCCATGTGAAAACATAGCTCAAAAAAAGGAAATTGTTAAACACTGAACACCAGCCAGATGGTTTGCTGGGCGGTCCGCTTACCATTTTCTAACTCAGAATGAAAATGAAGTAATCCACAAAAGTATTTTTTTTCATCTAATGTAAATAAAGAGCCAGCTTTCTATCGCTGCCCTAACCCCTCTCTAAGGCCCTATGCGTTGTTACAACAAAGTATAAACTGTGTGAGTAAATTGCCATTAATGCATTGTGATTTATAACTTGCTGTGGTTGATACTCAGAACATAGTTACTTCAGTACATAATGTTCTTGCTTGGTTGGGAACATTTCAATTTTTTTCCATTGAAATCATTTCTCGGATGAAGACTTAAATAAACTAAAATGTGTAGTTTTAGAAGGTTCATTTAACTACTAAGCAAAAACTTCACTCAAATAAGTTATTACTGAATGCCTCACTGTAATATATGTATGTTTGTTTATTTTAATTTTTGCAGCTCCGTTATCACGCAAGCTGACCTTCCTTTACTTGGCCAATGACGTCATTCAGAACAGCAAGAAGAAGGGACCAGAGTTCACTCAGGACTTTGCTCCGGTCATCGTTGAGGCATTCAAACATGTAAACAGGTATATATATATATATATATATATATACACACACATTTGTTTACATTTTTTATCTTTATGAAAATCCTACTTACTGTGTTTTTTTAGGTTTGATTTACATCACTACCTGATGGGCCGTACCTAAACATATTGATATACATTCTACTGAAGAGTTAATAACATTGTATTCATGTATTGTCCAGACCTTCCATCAGAGTTTTTTAAAGTCAGTTAACCTGTATGTCCCGCCCCAGAGATGGAGAGGAGGGCTGTAAGAAACAGTTGGGTCGGGTCTTGTCCATCTGGCAGGAGCGAGCTGTGTACGAGAACATCCTGCTGGATCAGCTCTCACAAGTCCTCTGTAAGTTAACATGACTTACAATAAGAGAATGTGACCAAATAACTATCGTGGCTTCGTCGTTCACTTTTAATTTTGCATCATACTATTTCAGAATTGGTTTCCAGATTCAAAGATTGTTTCCGACTCGTTTGATCCAAACATTTCCAATAACGTTGTAATTACTAGATGGCGCGAAGAAGGCTAAGAAGAGGTCGTATGAGGAGATCCGACCCGCTGATGAGGACTTTGCTTCTCAGAGTTCCCCCACCGAGCCCCCACAGGTGATTTACTCAACTCAACACAATGCAGCCATAAATACAGGGTATAGCTTAACCACATAGCGGTCCTTTAATAATGATACAGTTGCTTCTGCAAGAAATGTATCATAATACTTCCTTTGTCTGCCGCCTCTCTAATATTGTTTATGTTTGTTATACTAATGTCAACTGCAACTTAAATATTTCTTAATTTCTCTCCTCCCTTTGCTCCCCCAACCTCCCCTCCTTGCCTCTGATCCTCCCTCCACCTCAGACAGCAGAGTTAATCCGAGCCCTGCAGGAGCTGGAAAATGCAGCCTCTGGCGACTCCGTGCTGTGTCAGCGAATCTCCTCCCTTCCTGCTGAGGTGCACGACACGTCGCTACTTCACAGTATAACAGGTAGGAGGCGGGACACAGAAAACTATCCTAGACTCTGTTTACACACACAAGTCAGTTCCATGGCTCATTAACACACGTGCAATATGTATAGATGTTTTCACTTTTTATCAATGATTTCCTATCATTGAATCGTTTTATCGATCCAAATCGTTACCTCTCTAGTACTTAGTAAAACAACTGCTAATAGTTAAAGATGAGGAACCTCTATGTGTGTCATCTAAGAGTTTTGATAATCTATTATAGCAGGGAATGGCAGTGTAATAAAAATGGCTATGAACTAGAGGTCAAGTCAGTGCGTGAAGAACCATCCCTTAACTTACAATGAATGTATTCACTCTGACATACTGTATATTAAAAGGCTATGAAGCAAAGCACCCTTGCTTAAACTTAAACAAACAAATATTACAAACAAACTGAAGTGTCTTGGAGCAAAACACTGAAACTAGAAACATCTAAATAGGCTACAATGCCTCAGTGTTCCATAGGAAACAATGATTGATTATACAGCAGCTATTTACATTGCACCAGTATTGATGGATAACTGAATGACCCCCAGTTGAGCCCTCTAGGCTGATAATGTTTAAACATGGTGCCCTGCTCTGTGTGTGCTTCCTGTGCTTTAGATAAGGAGTCAGGAGAGCGGCTCTCCCGGCTGGTGGAGGAGGCCTGCATGCTGCTAGCAGACTACAGCGGCCGCCTGGCTGCAGAGATTGATGACAGGAGGCAGCTCACACGCACACTAACGGTCTTCCTTCAAAGCCAGAAGGACGGCCTGACCCAGAACGAGCAGAAACTTGAAGTGCGTAAATCACTTTTTTTTCTTCTAAATACTGTATGAGTTGTCTGCCTCACCTCAGAGTCCTGCACGAGTCCTGCAAACCTGCACCCCCAGGGTTCAGCACTGAACTGACTTGTGACCC